TTTATTTCTTATCTCATATCTTCCTAATACAAGCTAAATGCTTTTTATAGACTCCTAATGCTATACAAAAGCAACACTCAAGGCTATACAAGTCTAAACAGCCTAAAAATTAGGAACAAAGACCAACAAATCTCCACCTTGGTCCTAGTTTTATCATAACAAAGAAATCAACTTTTCTTAAAACAACAACCAAGAACATACAGTCGGGTAAACCAGGGGACGTAACCCCAAAAACTCGAGAGCCCAGTAGGTATCAACTCACCTGCAAATCAGCGTACAGCTAAGGATCAAGATCTTAAGGCACAAGCAGCTTCCAATCGGCAATCAACCCATCGCCTTTTAGAGACGAAGACCAAACCAGAGGAGAACAAGAAGGGTACATCTTCTACTCCTCAAATCTTCTCTCTTCCACAAGAAGCCCAAGAACCAGCCGTTAACAAAGACCTAGTCCTCTTCTCGCTCTCACTCCTCAAGATCGTCTCAACGAGGCTCTGATACCAAATGTTGAATCCAACTTCTTGCAAGAGAGGAAGAACACTTCCTCTTCTTGAAGTTGAGAGAGAGGAGGAGGGAGAGAGGAGAAGGAAAGATGGAGGCAGAGCAACTCAAGAAACTATATTTCTTAAACCATATCTATTACAAGACATAAAGCCTATATTTATAGGCACCTAATGCTATACACAAGCATCACACAAGGCTATACAAGCCTAAGAAACCTAAATCTAGGAACAAAGTACAACAAATCTCCACCTTGATCCTAGATTTACAAAACAAAGAAATCAACTTTTCTTAAATCAACAACCAAGAACATACAGTCTGGTAAACCAGGGGACGTAACCCCAAAAACTTGAGAGCCCAGCAGGTATCAACTCACCTGCAAATCAGCGTACAGCTAAGGATCTGGATCTTACAGCACAAGCAGCTTGGAACAAGCAAACCTCTTGCCTTTCAGAGATGAAGACCAAACCAGAGGCGAACAAGAAGGGTACACCTTCTACTCCTCAAATCTTCTCTCTTCCACAAGAAGCCCAAGAACCAGCCGTTAATAAAGACCTAGTCCTCTTCTCGCACTCACACCTCTAGATCGCCTCAACGAGGCTTTGATACCAAATGTTGAATCCAACTTCTTGCAAGAGAGGAAGAACACTTCCTCTTCTTTAAGTTGAGAGAGGAGGAGGAGGGAGAGAGGAGAAGGAAAGATGGAGGCAGAGCAACTCAAGAAACTATATTTCTTAAACCATATCTATTACAAGACATAAAGCCTATATTTATAGGCACCTAATGCTATACACAAGCATCACACAAGGCTATACAAGCCTAAGAAACCTAAATCTAGGAACAAAGTACAACAAATAATCAACTATATAATTTTAGAAATTTTATAAAAAAAATAAGATGATTATATCCGCAAATAAAAAAATTAAATTAATTGAGTTATTTTCCAGCTAAATATGGATTTGATGGTCTACTAAAATCCAACCAGTTTAATTAACGGATTAAAAAATCTAACCCAAAATTGATCATGTCTATTAAATGGGTCAAGCCGAAGGTTGATTTTTCGGGTTGGGTTTGTTGGCTAGGTCATTTTTTGACGCTCATATATCTATTCCATGATAAAATTAAAATTGGGGCTTATAAAATTGAATTAAAGGGTTTTAAAAAATTTTCCCTAATTTAGTTAGGTGTTGCTTATGATTTAGTGCATCAGGGTTAAACCTATGTTTGATTGTTCTGTTCAGGGCGAATCATGTTGTTTAATTGGCACTTTGTATATATATATATATATATATATATATATATATATATATATATATTTCAATCTAGTCAACCTAGATAACATATGTTGGGGGTGTAATTAAGC